TCGTGGAGGTACGTCTTTTGGGCTCCTGACTCGTCTTTTTGCACTTATGCTAAACTCTGCCCAAGGCCTTCCTGTGCCTCGATTCGCTTCAACGTAGACTCGTTTGGATAGTGCTTCACGTCCCGAAAACGCTCCAACAAACCGTTTACGAAACCGTCAACTCTTCATGGAGGTACGTCTGTTTGTACTTTCGTGTTTTTGCACTTCTGCTAAACTCTGCCCAAGGCCTTCCTGTGCCTCGATTTCCCTCAACGTAGACTCGTTTGGATACTACTTCATGTCCCGAAAACGCTCCGACAAACCGTTTACGAAACCGTCAACTCTTCGTGGAGGTACGTCTGTTTGTACTTTCGTGTTTTTGCACTTCTGCTAAACTCTGCCCAAGGCCTTCCTGTGCCTCGATTTCCCTCAACGTAGACTCTTTTGGATACTACTTCATGTCCCGAAAACGCTCCGACAAACCGTTTACGAAACCGTCAACTCTTCATGGAGGTACGTCTGTTTGTACTTTCGTGTTTTTGCACTTCTGCTAAACTCTGCCCAAGGCCTTCCTGTGCCTCGATTTCCCTCAACGTAGACTCTTTTGGATACTACTTCATGTCCCGAAAACGCTCCGACAAACCGTTTACGAAACCGTCAACTCTTCGTGGAGGTACGTCTGTTTGTATTTTCGTGTTTTTGCACTTATGCCCTACTCTACCCAAGACCTTCCTGTGGCTCGATTTCCTTCAACGTAGATTTGTTTCGATACTACTACACGTCCCGAAAATGATCCAACAAACCGTCCATGAATCTGTCATCCCTTCATGGAGGTATGTCAGTTTGTATTTTCATGTTTTTGCCCTTATGGTGAACTCTGCCCAAGACCTTCCTGTGGCTCAATTTCCTTCAACATAGACTCATTTGGACACTACTTCACATCTTGAAAATGCTCCAACAAACTGGTTATGAATCCGTTGACCCTTTGTGGAGGTACGTCTGTTTGTAATTTCGTGTCTTTTGAACTTATGCTAAACTCTGCCAAGACCTTCCTGTGGCTTGATTCCCTTCAGTGTAGACTTGTTTTGATACTACTACATAGTGTTTGGAAGTCCGGTCTCGTGACTGGAAAAAGACCGTAACCAGACCGGACCAAGACCGCAAAAGACTGGACCTGCGGTTACGGTCTTTTATTTTTGAAATGTAAAGACTGCAAGAAAACCGGTTAACGTGAACCGGTCTTGACCGGTTTGGACCGGTCTTTTGTAGCCCCTTAAATACCCTTTAAAACGCACCCAAGAACGTATGATTTGGTAAAAAAACGAGAGAGATATGAATTAAAATGTAAATTACTTTTGGGAATAATAGATGTACCAGACTTATTTTATAGAAGCACCAATTCCTAACGGAACTTAACGTTCTTGGGCTCGTTTTGGAGCTATTAGAGATGTTAATAAATTTACCGATTCATAATTTTAAAATATTGGCCTAAAGACCGGTCATAAACCGGTTAAAACCGATGCAGACCGAAACTGGTCTATAGACCGCAAAAAACCGCGGTCTGCGGTCTTTTTGCAGTCCGGTCTGGTCTTTTGACTTCTGGGGAAAATGCAGACCGGTTACGGTTACGGTTAACGCCCCTGGGCATCAAAAAACCGGACCGAACCGGACTTTCAAACACTACTACTACATGTGTGCAAGTAGTAGAATAGCAGTGGGTACCCTTCACACCTTTAACACCAGTCTGTTCAATGGTGGCACCCCCACAGCACAGTTGATGGTAATTGAATCCATGTGCTTGGATCTAGGCACTTAGTATGCGTGCAATGAAGAGGAAATGGTGGGATTGGAGAACCCAGTGAATTACTCCACAAGACGATCATGGTCAAAGTGTTTGGACTGGCCAAGATGACAACAGGTGCATAGAGATGGCATGGTGAAGCTGGCGTATTGCTCAATGAGACAATTGTGGTAGATATGTGGCACTTGAATCATTTGGATTGGCCAAGACGACGATGAGCATGCAAAGGAGACAGATATGCAGTAGATATGTTGCACAAATTGTTTGGACTGGCCAAGACGAAGAGTGCTCAGCAAAACAAAAGAGAGGGTGCTGTGGCAAAGAGAAGGTGCCGTGGGAAGTTGAACTTGAAGAGTTAGATTTGATGACGCACGAACATTTCCTGATCATTTGATGGGGGGAAGTTTCGTGCGTCATCAGAATCTATGATGAATACTACCAAAGTTGCACAGCCTCAGTACAAATGCTCAAGATTCTATGATGCATGAACATTTCCTGATCATTTGATGGGGGGAAGTTTCATGTGTCATCGGAATCTGTGATGCCAAGAGGACAAGAGATGAGAGATGAGATCTAAAACTTACCCCCTGAGATCTGCCCCCTGCATTTGTATATTGTGGCAAAGATTGTTTAAAAAGGAAATAGATCATGTCATCTACTTCAGAAATACATGCTATAGCTCAATTAGAGATTCTGTGCACCCTATAACATCCCAAAATCAACATTGAAATGACTCCCACTTATTTGTGAATATTTGTTACTGTTTAACCTGTATATCAATAGTCTTTTAAGTATCAGCATTGATCAGATGTAAAATTTATCATCTATTTCGTTTTTGCAACTGTTTATTTGTGTTTGTTTACCAGGAACATAACATCACCATGACCACGGAAATGAGGAGTACCCATCACAAAAGAAATCATGTCATTTGGATCAAAACTCGCTGAGTTATACATGAATCTGTATTTATTACCGAAAATGGTAACTGATCTGAGATCTACTATGACACACGAAACTGTCCCCCATCAAGCGATCAGGAAATGTTCGTGTGTCATCGCTTCTTGAGTTCCAAGCATTGCCTAAAGAAAAATGTGTAACTTTACCAAATCACGTCCAATTCAGATGAAATAAAATGCAGAAAAAATGTAAAATTTCAGGGATCATGCCTGTATACAATTCATTGAAATAGATTATGTAATAAGGTCAAAGTCCAAATAAACATACTTTTTCAAAGAAGAATCTGAAGCTCACCAACATAAAATCTAAAATAAATGAAATAAAACACCAAGAAAAATACAGTTTGTTTTTATGTATATTATGTAATAAAAGTTATGTGCACAAATAGATACAATAAATTGGCACAAAAATTAGAAGAAAATGGCTGATGGTGCTCACTGTTGGTGACAACATTTGACAACACTCTCAGGGTCTCTGGTAAATTTCCATATATGGCACTCAGCATTTGTCCAACTGAAAAATAGCAATTAAATGGCAGAAAAAATGGAAAACAATTGAAGAATGGTGCTAACTGTTGATGTTGATATTAGGACTGTTTCAAGGGTCCCAGGTGCATTTCCTTATATGGAAATTTATTCAACAATTGCCAGAAAATAACACAAAAATCAGAGAAAGTTGGAATATGGTGCTCATTGTTAGCAATGATGTTATGAGTCCTCTGAGTTTATAAAGACACTAGTTTGTTACTCTCTGATCTCAAGGATTTTTTCAGTACTTCTAACACTGAATCTTGCCTTTCTTCCCATAAGATTTGATGGTTTGATGATGTTGTCAAACATTTTTTGAAAGGAAAAATAGCGATAAAAACAGAAGACAAATCAGGAACAAATGGGGGACAATATGCATTATTGATGACAATGTTGGGGACCATTTTCAGAGTACATGGCATATTTTCAACTGAGGTAATGTGCACTTTTTGAATCAAAAAATGGCAATATAATAGTAGAAAAATCAGAAAGAAATTGAAGGAAGATGCTCACTGTTTGTGCAACACTGGGGAGCATGTTCAGGGTCCAGAAGAAAATTCCATACATAATAATAGCTATCTATAAGGACTGGAAAAAATTAGTGAAAAATGGAGCATAGTACTTATTGTTGCTTTCAAGGTAGGGACTCTCTGTAAGGTCCAGTATTTTATATACATGGAAATATACAATTTGTCCAATAAAAAATAGCAATAATATATATATATAATGGGTATAGATCTGATGGGCTTTCAGGAGGTGGTCACATGACCAGTTTTCTAAATAATCAAAAATGTGA